CAACAGAAAGAACATGTGGTGGAAAACTTCAGGGGCGGGAGAGGTGGGAAATGAAAATATGAGTCAGGAAGTCTGGAGGCTCCAGATGAGGCTGAAGGGAGAAAATATGATGGGGTCAAGGCAGAGGGCTGCACCACAGCAGTGATAGAACTTAAATGCACATTCAGTTGAACTTCGATGCTGGTTTTAATCTAGTAAGCATCTGCGGAAGCCAGGTGCCTCATTGTTTTTTCTTTGCAAAAGACATGATGGCCAGGACACCCAAAAGACAAATTTGGGAGCAAAATGTAGACATTTCTAAAAACTCTCCAACTGGTTGTGACAGGTAGTCAAGGTGCCACTGTAAGCTACTGCTCTATTGATAGGTGACCTTTTGGGAAGGGTGAGCTGAAGCAGGATTTAAGGAGGACCAGAAACCAAGGAAAATGGTATGGAAGAGGAAAAGATAAATTTTTTTCCGTCAGAAAGTGTGTCTATATAAAATCATTTTACATGTTGCTGTGGTTTGGATGTGGAATGTCCCCCAAAGGCCCAGGTGTTAAAGGCTTGGTTCCCAGTTTGGAGGTAGTGGCAGAATTTTAGGAAGCAGGGGCCCTACTGGAAGATGCTCAGGTCATCAGGGGAGTGGCCTGTGAAGGCGATGTGGGACCCCGGACTTTTCCTCTTTCTATTCTTCACTTTCTGGCCATGAGGTGAGCAGTTTTGCTCTACTGCACAGTCCCTCCATGATGTGCTATTATTCCCCCTCATAAATTCAAACACAATGGGTCTGCCTGATCATGGACTGGAACCTTCAAAAGCGAGAGTCAAAACCAAACGAAACAAGGCTTTTCTCTTTCATTACCTTAGGTATTTGTTATAATTTTGGGAAGATAACAGATATAATTTTGGGATTTCCAATAAAGCAAACCAAAAGAAAATCTATCCTCTGCATCATCTTGTTGAAGGGAAATGTGAACACATTCCCATATGGAGAAATAAAGGGAGACCTGCCTTGGGGGTGGCATGTGCTCTTTCCCACGCCTCTTAAGTGTTTTCTTTTTTCTTGCTGGGATAAAGGTCCATCTCAGGCTTTCTCAGTTTCACTGGTCACTGAAAGTACCACCAGCCTATCTATGTCCCGATGGGCAAGAGGGTGTAAAGAAGCTCCTCTATCAAGGAGCTCAGCACAGTTTTCTCGGTGCCAGTTGTGCATGTGTGCATGAGCTTGCATACTTGTCAAGGCAACACCAGGTTGGACCATGCCAGAGGGAGAGGCTCACGAAACCAGTATCCAGAGGAATTGTACTTGGACATTTGAATTTCAGTTTGAAATACATTTCTAGTATTTCCTGTGACCCTTCCTCTTTTTTCTATGTATCTCCCCCTTTCCCAAACTGCTTAGACAGTTGACTAAAATAAGACAATGTTTTTTCCTAAACATGTTCCCATTGACAGTGGAGGGAAAATCTCCACTGACTTAAAAAAAAAAACTTTTGTATTATCCTCCCATAAATGTTGAGTTTGCTAACAAATAAAAGTTATATTTAGAAAAAACTGTACGTCAATTGGCTTATAATGTAGTTCACAAGATCAGGTACCTTCAAATGCATAATTAAGCTGAGGTCTTCACTAGTCTAACTTCCTCTCTTTTGCTTCTCTGAGCAGTGGAGAATGCAGTCTTTTCCTTCCATCTGCTTTCCTGAGTGTCCACTCAGAGATGGCTGTTCTGCTCAAAGTGCCACCCAAGCCACTCCCCTTGAAAGTGAATGGAGCAGCACAGTAAGCTGCATTTACTTTTCCATAAAAATAAATGGACATAATATGATACAGTCTTCTTTCCAAATTAACAGGGAGCAAAAACAGCCTGCTGAGCAGGGGCACATGCTACAAGTGTGCAAGCTGAGCACATCAATAATATCAGCAGAAAGGTAATTGGCTTCACTGCTTCACCCTTGAAAAGGGAAAAAATACATAAATCTTGTTGGATAGATGCCCATCGTACAAACTGAGGTTAGCTCTGTAGTCTTTATTGCATCCAGTTTTTCATTACAGTGAATGCAATGAAATTTTACCACCAGCTAATTCTAGTTCTGAGGTCTCCAGCAGGCACACAAGAGTTTCCATTAGCATCAGAAATGGGGTGATGTGTACACATTTGGTAGTGTCTCATAGGCTTCACAAATAAGTGAGAGAAACAAACTTTCACCACCAAGTTAAAATATTTAATGACAAAATTAGAGTTTACTGTAATAGTGAATCAACAGAGGAGGTGTTACTTGTCTCTGAATGAAGCAAAAATTATATTTGACATCTTAGGGAACTTCTGAAGAATTATAACTGTACAGCAGACATTAGCAGTATTACAATTCTGAAAAATAAGAGTGAAACCTATCTTTAATATCCCTTATTTAGGGTATTCTGTAAATATTTTTACATAAACGCACACCCTTTGTTAGCCACAATAGTATTATGACAGATTTCATTATAATTTTAAGTCTAACATATAATCTTAATTTTTTTCAGAGCTTTAAAAAAGTTAACTACTGACCTTGTTTACAAATACATTCTTTAAAATGAAACGTTAACCTGAATAACTGCATACTTGCTGTACACAGATATCTAATAATACTAGTGAGTACTACAGCTACATTCCAGGAAGAAGTAGTAACACTGGAAAGTTTCTTTTCTTTATGCATTATCAGTATAATTTGAGTAGTCATTCACAGAAATACAGTATCCCCCAGACTCAGAAATGAAGCAAATTATATATGTTTAGTAAGCTCAACTAAATGAGTTGGTCCCAAATGATGACAGCAACATTTTCTAGGTCAGATTGTATCGACCAGTATTGCAGCACATTCTACAAAAGGACAGCAAGTAGCTGTGCACATGTTATCAGGGGCTGTTCTGCAAGAGGCCAGATGGTAGAGGAGTAGCAGGAATTGCTGCTGTGACCTCTGTGTTTGGCAAAGGCCAAATAGGACTTGACAGAGGTCAAGTGTGTGACCACGGCCTGGAAGCTGATCAATAGAGGAAGCTATTGGTCTTTCTTCTTATTCAGGCTATTTCAATAGACTTAGGTCTAGAAGGATTAAACAGAGTAAGGAAAGAGGGAAAGATGTAGAATACTTACATTTATGAACAGTAACTGTCAGAATTCTGCCAAGGAAGAATCTCAGATTTCACAGTATGCTTATGACCTCAGTGTCGGGTGCTTTAGAGGCAGCTTCTCAAACACTGATGTTAGATAGTTGGCAGCCAATTTTATTCTTGAGTTTGGCCGATTGTCAGGGGGTTTTAGGTTTACTCTTTTAATTATTTATACCAAATATCTATCTCTGAAACCAGAATCCAATTTGGGAAGGTGGGTATGTATCTGTCTCTGTATGTGTGTGTGCATATGTGTCTCTTTTCTGACCTAAAGTATGCAAACAAAACCTGTCTTAAAACAAAACCTGGAGTAATATTTGAGGTTTTGCTTAGAAATTAGGTAGTTCAAATGGTACTAAATGGTATGTTCCTTGCTTCTTTAAAATTCTAAGACACTAAAAGAAAATTATAAAATATTATAGTAAACTTGTACAGTTTACTAAATGAACTTTGCAGAGTTTTCTTCAACTGAATAATTTCTCTAAGAGGATTCAGAAATTTGTCTCAGGCAAATTCCATCTCTTTTTTTGATATGTACTGCTATGATTTTTATCTTCCAATAGACAAACCTTTTCCCTCCCTGGGAAAGCTTCATCAGGAGAAGTTAAGCTATTTAAATCAACAGCAATAATTTCCAAGCACTCTTACGCTGCTATGTAAGAGGCTATCGTACATGTAGACTCAACTGACTCAGTGGAAAGGAAAAACAGAAAGGGGTACTGAAGACTCAGGCAGCTTGTGAATCGATGCCCTGCAGTAAGAGACTGACAGTGTGTCTGGGATCTCCAGCTTGCCTCCTACTTTCATGATGAAACAAGCACAGATTTTTTATGTTTAGCATTTAAACCTTCTAAGAAACAAAACTTCCAGACTCTAAACCCAGTATTATTTTGAACAAATACAATCAAAAGGTATGTGACCAACTCTATTCAATCTCACAGCAGTGCAAAGACTTTGTGGCCATGCTGTCTTATGTCACACCAGGCAAGTTGCAGTTGCTGTGAGATACAATTTGTCAAGAAGTACACGTTAAATTACATTAAATAAACAGACAACATTAACATCATTCAAACCTTCAAAAACCAGATATGAAGAAACTAAAGTTCCTTGCCAGAGGACATTATGAGAGGATCTTTAAAAAGGGCACAGCTTTGCAAAAAGAAAAGAGATTTAAAATGTAGCATCTTTTCAGCTTATAATTTACCTAGACCTTTATCTGGATAAATCAATTTTTGATAAAAATCTAAGCTCATTTCAATACCACCTACTATATTTGGTACAGTGACAAATGAGAAAAATATCCGTGAAGACCCAGAGGTTTTTAAGTAGGATTTTCCTTAGATCTTTACTCAAATTTTTATCCTTGATATGATAATCCCAAATAATCAGTCTGGAAAGAAGTAGCAGAAGTATTTAAGCTGCAGCTCAGAAAGAAGATTTCTACTTGTGATTCTGATTTGTTTTTTGAATGCTGGTGATGGTTCATGCAAAAGATTAATATGCAAAGAGCAAAATCTAAGGCTGCTATTTCCCCTGATAAATGCAACTGTTTTCCATAATACAGACTTATGTCTCAGGATACAGAATTTTAATTTTATTCTTCAAATTAAGAGTACTAGGAGAGTGAACGAAACCAATCACTGCTTGACTTTTATTTCCATCCAGGAATAATAATATCTGATGTCACCACATTAAAACTTCTCGTTAATATCAGGGAGGAGAAAAAATACATGTTTGCCAGTTTAGACTGAGCTCAGTTTATCATTTGGTCCAAATGTTATATTCAAACTACAAAAAAATTTCTTCTTAAAAATGCAAACACATTTGAACACACGCACGCACGCACACACAATGGAGAAAATTCAAACTGAAGCTGATGCTGTTACAGCATTTCTTAGCAAGATTATTAGGGAAATATATAAACACAACACCTTTTTCATTTATATTAACATCTGAGAATGAAGAACAAAAAATCCTCAATGTCCGTATATTGGAAAGAAAGAAGCAAGTGGAGGTCCGGAATTCTTGTAAAAACTGCGGAACGAACTCTTCCATTCTCTTAAGAGGGTCACCAGGATAGGCAGTTTTTCAACATTTGTGCTTCATTGCAAGCTAAGGAGAGAAAGAGGAGAAAACTGAGACTCTCTCTTCAGCCCCTTCCCCACATTCACCATGAGAAGCTGATCACCATTCATTATTCACAGTGGCACCTGGAAAATGTGCAGCCCTTTCCCAACTGGTTCACTGGACATTGTTACTCTTCCTGACATTAATTTTGTTGGTGTGTGTGCCCAGTGGGGGAGGAGGCTCTTTCATTGTTACTGAGGGGACAACTGAAGAAATCAATGCACGAGGAGAATAAGTAAAACAACCCGCCTGGAATGTAAATATTTGCTGATAACTCACGAAGTATAAAAAGTCAACTGCATGCATAGAGACAATCTGAAAGCATTTACTCCATATTCAGCTTGGACATTCAATCAAGCTGAAAGCTCTTGAAAATTAAATTGTGTTATTAACGAGGGACAAACAACAGGCCAAATCCAAACCTTGATCTACTACTTCCCTCTAGACGTCCTCTTGATATCCTCAGGTAAGAAGTTATAACTTGGGAGCTCCCACTAGGAAAAGCAGCATCAACAGTTCTGCATGTGGCAGAGAGGGGCTGTGTGGATCTAGCCCTGGTGCTGCAAAGTTAACCTATGTATGGGAAACCTCGGCTGAAAGAGCTCCTGGTACTTCTGTTTGGTGATACCAGTGTCCACAGACTGACTGTATTGATGCTGGCAGTCAGTCAAATATCAGGCAGAGTTTGTGAAGTTCTGAATATGCCCAGGATACCACACAGAGTGCTACAGGTATTTCGCCAAAAAGTGTAGAAGTGGTTAATAATGCCTGACCTCAAAAAGGTTATAACTCAGGATCCATGGTCAATATAATGACAGAGCTAGAGCTCTATGTCAGATCTGTCCCACCCCTCCGCCACACTGAGTCCCTTCACTAGAGGGCTTTCCCTTCTTGCTCTGCCTCCAGTTGCATACATTATTTAGCAATGAGGACCATCAAATGCACGCAGAGCTGTTAAGTGTGCATAAGGAATACCAGCCATAAATATTTGATCAGTGCTACTGTCCCCGTACTCAATGAGCTGTTAACTCTCCACCAACAGGCTTGAGCAGTTTACAGGATGTAGCTCAAGCCAGACCCCAGTTTCCATGGCAGTAACTTTGGAACAGAGCTAAGAGGAGCCCCTGGGCCACAGCCAGCTGCACTTTGCAGAAATACTACTGGATTGGACAGTTGTTACTTGAGGTATTGTTATGGGGTGAATGTTTGTATTCCCCCAACTTTCCATGTTGGTAACTAATGCTCAATGAGATGGTACTAGGAGGGGGGGTCTCTGGGAGGCCATTGTGTCAAAAGGTTGGAGTCCCCAGGAGTGGAATTAGTGCCCTTATCAAGAGAGCAGAGAGAGACCCTTTGTCCTTTATGCCATCAAAGGACACTCTGACAAGCTGCTGTCTGTGAATTAGGGGAACAGGCCCTCACCAGACATGGAATTATCCAGCACCATGATCTTAGACTTCCCAGTCCCCAAAACTGTGAGAAATAAATTTCTGTTGTTTATAAGCTACTCAGGTGATGGCATTTTGTTACAGTGGCCCCAATGTATTAAGACGGGTAGTTTTGCAGGAAGTGGTATCATTCTAGCTCTTAAAGACCCCTCAGGAATTAAGAGCTTTAGGATATGGGAGATAGGATGGCAGGGCAGGAAGAGTACTCGACTAAATAGGTCAGGATACCTGCTGCTATAACTTTGCTATATGACCTTGAGCTCTAAGGTCACAGTCATTCCATACCTTAGCTTCCTCATATGTCTATAAAAATGTCTCCAACTTAATGGATTAATTTAGTTGTTAGAGCTTCTGTAGGAGCTTAACATTTCCTTTTGCTCTGTTTTGTTTTCTTAATATTTCATAGAAAGCCTTCTCTTTCAATGCTATGCTTTCCACCTAGATAATTACAATAAAAATCATTACTGAAGCCAGGGAGATAGTGAGACCTGAGACTCTTTCCTTCTGGCCTAGGGACCCATGGGAAACAGTTGGCTATAGTACCAAGAGACAGCGCCATTCTCCCCTTCTTCCCCACAAACATGGGCTTGTTCAGGACAGGGCAGATCAATGTTCTTTTCTGTGAGCAATGGCAGCTGAGGATGCTTAGGTGTGGGTAATGCTCTTGCTCGCTGGCTCACTGCTCATGGCGGGCTGTCAAAGCAAAGCACACACTGCAGCATTGTGCTTTTGGGGGCAGGGGAAAGTGAGCAGGACTGCTTCTGTGGTGGAGTTGTGCTTTCTTTATGGCTGGGACTGTGTCAAGCTCACAGCTTAGGAAGGAATCACACTTCCTCAAGCCAGCCTAACTGGAGCTGGAGATGAGGGGGTGCTGGCAAGGAGGGAGAAGGATCATTTTCCATCTGCTCTGTTGGGGACAAGCACCCATATTGCTTGAGGGCAAGGGTTGTGCAAAAGTGACTCATTCGTTCTCATACCTGCGTCATTGCAGGGGTTCTGGGAAAAGTTAAAAGGCTCCTTTCTATTGCAATCTTGAAAGCTGTGCCATACTTTGCATCTGTGGTTGAGTGTCTTTGTTCAACCGGGAGCTCAGAGGAGCTGCCACCTGGAATTACTGTTCTCTGCTCAGGGCTCTACCAGGTGCATTGTCCTCCATTTGTAAACACAGCCCACTCTTCATGAGTCAACAAAGCCACGTGTGTCTGGGGGAGTGGAAGGCCTGGGTTCGATCTCTGAACTCTCCACTTACTAGCAGGCCTGGCTGGGGCTTGGCCAGTGAAACAAAATCTTCATGGTGAGCCTATACCAGAGGGCCAGACAAGAGGTCCTAGTCCCTGGGAAAGAGCCACCCCTTACCTAAAGAGGTCAATCTTCTCCTTAGGAAGACTGCCAGTGCTAGTGATTCATAAACACACATCCTAATTTTAGAAAACTGCAAGTCTGAATCTGCCACTGTCTCATACTCTCACACACTAACAGATTCTAGCTGTCCCTCCCCTCCCAAGAGAACATCTACCTGAGGGGAAACCAAGTCAAATGGAAAATGCCTCATCCCTCTGCTGCCTCATCTTTCCCTACTAAGAGCAGGAAACTGACTGTCACGATTCTCCTTCTGGTCAAAGCCACAGCTCCCTTTGCCTTTGGTGGCCTCATCAATTTCTGATCTGACAGGTCCTATTTCAGAGACTTCTCTCTGTTTAGAGAGTATTACCTCTCTAAACAGCAGGGGACTCTGCCACCCCATTTCTTCTTTGAGTTTGAAAAGCACAGCATCCTCATTTCTATTCCTTCTCTATCGCTGTGCTAAGGAACCTCAGTCATCAGTAACAATTGCAGTGCTCATTATATGACTGAATGGGGCAGGTTCAGCAGAAACTATTCTCATAGAGATAATTATAAATAATAATAATTCAGTTAATAATAAGTTTGCAATAGCTTCAAACTTATTTAATTCTTTCAACACCCTGGGAGACAGTTACTGTTATTAATTATCTCTATGTTACTGATGAAGAAACAGGGGCTTAGGGAAATTAAGCACTTGCCTAAGGTTACCCAGATGGTAAATGACAGAGCTGGATTCAAACACAAGAGTACAAATACTATACTATATCATTTCCCAACTACACAGAAAACTTGGCCACAGTATCAGGGGGGAATGGTTGCCAGAGCTAAAAATTTAGGCCATCTTGGGTGTTTGTCCAACTCCCACTGAGAAGGACGGCTGCGTAGATGATGACATCCAGGTATTGTCTACTCTACCTTAGGAAGAATAATTTCACAGCTTCCTCTGTAACCTGGTTCATGATTTAATCATTAATCCAAACTCTTGTTTTAGCAGAATTTTATCAGTGCACTACTGATCGCTCTATTCTCTGTGGGAAGGCATGAAAGATAACTGCCCCTTCCTAGACTTGAGGACAGTTAAAAAAGTTATTCCCTTTAGTCTGTTCTTCCCCAACTCAACAGTTTACATGTACCCCTAGATTTAAATCATTTAAGTTGCTATTGTTATAAATGAAGCTGGGGCTGGAATTCTAGCATTTCCATCTCATCATTACCGCTACACAAAGTCTAGAGAAGGGAAAGAGGGGACTAGAAAAACCTGTAACTCAGACTCCACTCTCTCTACAACAGTGGCAGCAGTCTGAAGCCCTGGCCTTCAGCAGGGCTGTCTGCATTTTCAGACAGATCCTGCCAATTCTCCTCCAGGGAACTGCACATGGGCCCCATAGGCAGTGGTTCAAAGACCATGTCTGTGCAAAGGGGATGGAGGAAGGAAGGCAGGACTCATCCACCTGAGTGTGAGGCCTGGGAGAGGCCACTGCAGATCAGCTGGGGATATTCTTCTTGCTGCTTTTTTGGGTTGTCCGTTCTCGTTTCCTTGGCAGGAGTAGGGTATTTTGTTGAAGCAAATTTTTCCCCCCAAAGGTCATCTGAAAAGCGTATCTGAAGGTCAAGATCATGAATCTGACAGACCAATAGAGTCATCCAGAAGTTGTTTCTGCAAACCTAAATTCAAATCACTAGCCAAAGCAGAAACTGCCCTTTTGATCTGAAGCAAAGGACAGTAATAAATCCTATCAGCTGACCAACCAGGCTCCTTTCTCCTTCAGTTTATGGCTGCCAATAAATACTCCCCCTTTCCTTTCTGAAAGGCATAGTTCTCAGCTAGAGTATGAACGTGCCTGGTGTGTGCCTAATCACACAGGAAGCCCATTCTCTGGATTCAGAGGCAGGAAGGAATCCTCCTGGCAACTTGGAGTACCAGTCTGCGACACCTACTCTGGCTCAGAGGAAACTTTAGATCTGAGGCTAGAGCATGCTTTGCACTTGGTGAAGAGACAGAGACACAGAATTCCAGATACAGGGCAGGGAACAGAAAGGTGGAAAGGAAGTCTGAGCGGCCCAAACTCTACCACAGATTCTTTTAAGCCTTGGCCCAAGTGCTGAGATCTGATCTCTTTTCTCTCTCATCCCATGCTCTGAAACGTGAGCCCTGACCTTCCGCAAAGAAACTCAAGATTGGTCTGGTAAATAGCAGCATATGGGAATTGTCAAGAGGAAATCAAAAGCTGCTTGATTTTGTATCTCCCACCATCGGAAACTCACTGAAATAAAAGTTTCTTGGCACTACAGGTCCCTAACAACCAGAGCATCTAAGACCCCTGCCCTCTGCTGGCCCACCTTGTGCGCAGTTTCTGCAAACTGCTGGGCACTGTTCTTCATGTCTTCTGTCTTCTCCTCGGCTCGGCCTAACCGTTCCCCACGTTCATTCAAGGCCTGGCTCGCCTTCTGTACTGCACTGGTCACACTATCAGCAGCTGAATGGAGGATGCTGTTTCCTAGAAAAAGGAGAACAAGGGTATCAAGAGCTGGCTTAGCACGGATCCAAGTGACCAGACCCCATGCTATGGAAAGGCCTTCAGCATCTAGGAAAAGACTGTATTTCTTCTGATTCTGTCTGACTGACTTATAGGAAGAATACTCATAGCCAGGCTGCAGGACCTACACAAATCCTGGGTGCTTCTCTCCACACTCATCCATTTGCCAGCATTATTCCTGGGGAGGCTCAGAAAGATAGGTACCATTTGGATGTAAGATTTGGCTTGCAAAGGTAAATGGGAATTCTGACAAGTTCACAGAATTAGGCAAGGTCACTGAGATATATGTGGATCTTATATGCATTTCCTTTTAACCTGCAGTTTAGGTGAATAATAACAGGACTACAGGGGCTACAGGGTTTTTCTAGATATAATATGCTATTGTTTTCAATATTTCACATTCATTTTATTCCTTTATCCAGCACATAAACAACCCTCACTGAATATATGGCTTCTAAGAGCTATGAATCAGCCATGAAGTTCAAAGTAGATGTGTTGGCTCCCAACCTTGAATCCTGGGCCATGGCTCAGATGGTTGGGCTCCACTACATGAAATACGTAGCCTCAGTAGTGCATGGACTCAATAGGTAGAAAGCTATTACAGAAACCAGCCCTAGCAGAAACAGCACTCCCAAATTCAGGAGTGATGATACCACAGAAAGTTGGAAACCATCACCTCTCAAAATGTCATGTGATCTTGAAGCCTGTTTGCCACACCTGGGCAGTAAAACTTAATGGTGAAGAATGTGTGGGTGCATAACCCACTGAGAGCTAGCAAATTGTAAAATGACAAACAAGGGAAGTTTATAGCTGTATTTCGTTAATATTGAGTAGAAGATGTTTCATGGCATTTTATGTAATAGCTTTTATGTCTTTGAATAAGTTTTATTACGTTATTTAACTTTGTACCTTGGATGGATACATCTAGCCACAGATGGCTTTTAATAGAAATGTAATTTTCCCTGGTCTCAGATGTAAAGGCTTCCTAATTTCTCCTCTGTGGGAACAGTCTGTGGTTTGTGGGAAAGGATCTCAAACAAACAAACAAAGTGCCTGGTCCAGACAAAGCACTTAGGAAACTGTTTCCTACTTTTCTTCTTTAGGAGATTTCAAGAGCTTCAATTATCCACTAAAGAAAGGAGAAAGAGTTTAACTTAGTATTACCAGTTTCAGTTAGTGCCACATGAACCAAGATTTAAAGGACAAAACTCAGCACAAATGAGTAGGGAACAGGGGCGATGGAGCGCCCCTAGTGGTGGGGCACTAGGGTTGGAAGGGAAGGTCTGGAACTACAGAACATGTTTAGGAAGATAAATCTTGGTCCCCCTGTGCTACCACATCATAATCAGGACTATGAGGGTAACCTACCATCACCACCTAACACTTACAAAGGATTCTGCAATCACAAAGCACTCTCACAAATACTACCTCTCTTGATTGTCTAAAAGTTCTACTAAGAAGATCGAGATTGGAGAGGTGAAGAGACTTGCACAGGATCATATTCCTAGGGAAGGCACATCACTACTATGGGACCCTGGTTTTCCAGTGACTTTTCCTTATTCTGTATCCTGTTTGCAGATATGGTGTTGCAATCACTATGATAGAATTTTGGGCAGACTAGCACAGACAGCTTATGACAGGTCATTTCCCAGGGTAATGCCTGACCATTTCTGTCCTCAAAGTATTTCTCTTGGTAAATTATTGCCCACGCCACATTGTAGGTCAAGTGATGTGAAGAAGGAAGAGGTCAATAAAATGGGACAGAAAGATGGATAAGAGACTGGAAGGTACAGTCCATATACCTACAACTTCAGCTACAAAGGGACTGGGAAAAGATAGGTAGAGAATCTACAAGTTCATGGCTGGGCATGGTTGGATTAAAGCAAAGGAATTTTAGAATAGCTGCCATAAAACTACAAAGGTATCTAACCAAGGCCATCAGAATGGACCATTAAGTCTAAAAGTTATATATATATGTGTTTCTAAAATGAGTTTGCTATGTATAAACTATACCACTTTCTTATCATGATTTCTTTGAAATTAGTCTTGCACATGATGACTGTCAGGTAACATCACAACCAATTTTATGTGATACTGCATAACCAGCAGTTGTTAGAAAAAAGAGAACCAAATGACATAACTAAAAGGGAACAAACACTGCCTTCACTATTCAAAGATGACCTTGCTTATCACTATCAGTTATTTCCGATGCAAGAATGGATTTGAACAAATCTGGTTCTCTCAGTTGAAATGTCCTTTCCCACTTTCAATTTTACCTACATATGGGGTCCAGTGAAGTCCCATCACCTTTATCAAGTTCCAGGTCAATTCTATTCTTTCCTTCCCCTCAACTCTTTAAATGCTATCTATGTTCTTAGTGCTTAAGTTCAATCATGGGCAACACTTCTCCTATTACTTCTCCACCTGAAGATGCAATGGCTTCCAGCTGAATCATAAATTCTCTGAGGGCTCAATTTTACTCCATTGACCATTCCCTAAGTTTTTAATCTTTCTTCTCTTTTGACTTAGAGTTTCTGTTCACTTGACTTTCTTCTCTCTGGATCCTTGGCTGATACTATAGTTCCAGGGTTCTGTCCTTTTCCTTCTTCAGACTCTCCCTGGACCAATCTTATTCACCTCATGGCTTCAGTGACAAAGTATCTTTCACAAGGTTGTGCTGATGAGCTCATATCCACGTTTTCCTGCTGGATAATTCCAACAAAGTGACCTAAAGTCACCTCAAATTCACTATGTTTGAACCAGACACACTTTCTTTTTATACCCACTTTTCCTTTGGGAAGAGAAAACCTCAACATCTGCCCAGCTCCTTCATCCAGCTGCAAAACTGGGAGGTGAGTTTACATTCTCCCCTCCATTCTAATCTTTATAACTACAGGCTGCTTCCTATATGGCTCACTACACTGTGCCTTCTTCACCATCCTCATGGTCTCACACATATGCACAAACTTCACCCACATCTCTGATAATTGCTAGAAATGAAATTACTGGTTCAAAGGACATGAACTGCGTTGAGGCTTTTAGTGTATATTGAAAATTGTTCTCTGAAAGATTTATTCAACATCCAAAACTATTCATGAACTGCATACTATTGACCAGGCATTGTTATACTGCCACAATTGGCAGAATGACTTTGAGAGAGTGATTTAATTCACTGGGTCTTGAGTTTCCTCACTTGTAAAATGAGGGTCATGACATTCATCTCACATGACTTCTACGGTGATGGAGATGAAGATGAAGAGGTATAGAAAGTGCCAGTAGATGCTCAATGGTCTGTCTCTTTGCCTGTCTTAAGACCACATCTACTCTCTAGAGAACCCTGGAAAAACAGAACAATCCCACCCAAATCTACTGCATGTCTCCCTCTCTCTTTTCTCCTATCATGGGACTAAGTGCTAAGTATCACAGAAGATACTTCTTAGATATCTTTGCATGTAGCACAGTGAGTTGCTCAGAGAAGAAGCTGAACACATATTAAATCAAGGCATGCTTTGTAAATAGGACACCTTACTCAAAAGTTGGGGCCTATCATATTATGCTGAGTTAAATCTGGAAATAAAGCAGTCTCCTGAGGAAGAGAGAACAGTAATTCTCTCTAAATAGATAGGAAGCCTATTACTACCCAAATTTATTCAAGCAGTCTGAGAAGAGGCTGTCAACCACAGCAAATGAAGTCAGCTGCCTTTTGAATGATGGTCTCTGGAGAGAATAACAGACCAGGCTTGCTTCACCGATACTGTCTTCACATTGCTACCACTCAATGTGTGCTTTAAAATATATATCCTGACATCTTTTATGTTAAGTGACTCAGAAATGTTTATTGAGTGAGAAACTTGAAATACAGTTATAGCATTATATTCACTATTAGAAAACATAATGAAAAGGATTTTCTTTTAATGCATAAAAGAAATGAGGGAAAAAGAGCAAAGTATATTGAAGTATACTGACAGGTGACATTAGAAGAGAAAGAAAAGGACAGATTTCTAGAAGCAAAAAATAATACACCAAAAACTCAAACATCAGAATATGTGAGTCTGATCATTCTAGACTTCAGGCTCTATGTTGGTGATTAAATTTTTTAATTTTACAACTGGTAAAGAGGCAATTTAAACAGAATTTTCAGCAGCAACCTCCTATACAAAACACATCTACAGATATTTAAATGTAAATATCTTATCCTGTTTGGGATACAAGGTAGGTAGAAAATCACCTAAAATAATTGGTTGATAAATATATACCCTTTTATACCCAGTGCTGAGTAAACATGCTCATTTGGGAATACTTTTTTGAAAACAGAAATTTCTTAATAGTTTTGGTTGGACTACTTCTATTCCATAATCAACCTACCCGCTTAGAATAATCACATAATAATCATCCTTCACTTGCCCAAACTAACTAACTTAGAGGAAAACCAATTTGAAATCTGTGAAAACACACACACACACACACACACACACACACACACACACACGCACACACACACACGTAAATGGATTTGGGTTCTAAAAAACTCACAAAAATTGGCAGGGAGATCTATTACATTAAATCTGTTAATTGACTAAGACTATTCATGCCCAAAATGTTCAATAGTAATTTTCTCTTTGAGTAGATTAAATAGGCTGTATTCTACTTTCATCTATATTAATTTCCTTGGCAAAACCACTTCCATGGGTAGAACATAAAGTACAGTTAAGTCTGGCTCAGTACTAGTAACATTCAAATTACTTTTACTGGACTTTTTTTTTGTGGTACTGGGGTTTGAACACAGGGTCTTGCATTTGCCAGGCAGGTGCTCTATAACTTGAGTAACTTGCCAGCCAGGTTTTTTTTGTGTTGGGTACTTTCGAGATAGGGTCTCTTGAACCATTTACCTGGGTTGGCTTTGAACTGTGATCCTCCTGGTCTCTGCCTCCCAAGTAGCTAGGAGTTATTGGCTCTGGCTTTC